ATTATTATTATTATTATTATTATTATTATTATTATTATTATTATTATTATTATTATTATTATTATTATTATTATTATTATTATTATTATTATTATTATTATTATTATTATTATTATTATTATTATTATTATTATTATTATTATTATTATTATTATTATTATTATTATTATTATTATTATTATTATTATTATTATTATTATTTGTTATTATTATTATTATTATTGCTATTACTACTGTTATTATTATTTATTATATATTATTACTGTGTTTTTATTGTTGTTACTGCTATTATTTTCAAATTTATTGGGAAGAGCACCTATTTGTGAAAGTATATATATACTTACTTTTAACTCCAACATATACTTATCGTAATTATTTATTTGCAGTTATGTAGATATTATTGATATAAAAGTAGATGATACTGGTCAACAGGTATGCTTACAAATGCGCCAAGATTCACAATTGATACTACGATCTGTTTATGCTTGCGCAATTCGAACATTAATTGATAAAATGTTATCAACCAACGGTGGAAAAGTGAACTGTTTTAATGTTTTCTATAATATTTTAATAATTTATCTATTTAGATGACCTCTATTCTAATAAATTAATTTTTCTATTTGCAATATTTATTAATGTCAAAATATGTGAATGTTTCAAAAAAAGCTAGATGTAAATATGTATTACTAAAAATTAACAGGGAATTAACCTATGGAGTGGTGTTCAAGTTATAAAAATATAAACTTCTATTGAAAGTTATATCCAACATGTAGTTATTTGTACCATACACTAAATGAATCTATTTATAGATTGAAAAGAATTTAGAGATTTGCTTTTTTTTTCCATTTTGTTTCTTTTCAAAATCACACCAAATCATTGCTTACACTAATTGACAGAAATTAAGTATCAGATCATTAGAATTTTTAAAAAGAAAAGTATAATTACAGGTGCGAATATATATGCGTGCTATAGCAGACTATATTACAAATGAACCTAATTTACTAAGTTTTTCAAAAGGTGATATTATACAAGTAAGCAATATTTCTTAGTAATTTTGAACAAATGTTGTGTTCATAATTCATAATTATAATAAATATAATTTGAATTATGATTATTATATTCGTGATGTTCATCAATATAATGATAACAAATGATGATTCTGATTATTTAGACTATAATTCTGATTATTGCTAATGTAATTATTATCATAATTTTGCATAATATTGTATATCTTACCTCTTAAATTTTATATTTATTTTTTTTTTTAGATTATAAATCGTAATGATGGAACATTACCAATGGAACAAAATAGTGAACAATGGTTGTATGGTAGAATTGGTAATCATTTCGGTAATCTACCAGCAAATTATGTTGAGCCATTGAATTCTTTTGGCCAAGTAACTATTATTGCATCATTCTTTTTTCTCTTACTTCGTTAAATCTCCCAAGTTATCCGAAATTTAGAATGTAAATTTCAGAAGTTATAGTCGAAAATATTATCAGAAATTATTATTATATTAAAAACGATAAAAATTATTGCAAATATGAAATTAGTTAATATACATTCTAAACAATTTTTATAAAAATACGAGTTGCTATGCACGAATAGCGGAGATTTTTGAGCAATAATTAGCAGTTTACAATTAGTAGTTAGTTTATACTAATTGGTGGTTTGTTAATTAATCGATCGATTACTAATTAATCGTTTAGAAAAGGCTTTACGGCACTGTGAAAGAAAAAAAGAATTTTATTAATAATTATAAATTATTATTACGCAGTGGCATTGTTATTAATTTCATCAATCATCAAACTTAATTGTAAATTTCTTTTTTTGCATTGATATGCGAATATATTTTATGCTTTCATTGATTATATTTGTCTTCCATTGATTTAATTATTTTATATCATATCCTTTTTTTCATGTATTACATTTTAATAATTAATTAAATTAATCAAATTTTGATTTTCCTTTTGTTCATTTCTTATAGATTGATTTATACTAGACAGTAAGAAATAAAATCATAAATTATCCCAAGAATATTTATTTATTTAATTGTGGCGGTCAACCAACTGATTGTCCATATGTCCACATCAGTGTACACATTGAATAATATTGTCAGCTGATTGGCCAACAATAGATAATTACTATTATTGTTTACAATAATTTTGCAGTTTATGTTAAAAAAAAAATATATATATATATAAGATACCGTATGTTTTTTATATAAGATACCGTATATTTTTATGTAAGATACCATATATGATTACCTAAATGACGAAATTAGCAGTATATTTATTATTTGTGGCATAATTTATTATTCTTTGTTCATTTCTTTGTCATTTATTTATTTATTTGCTCATTTATTTACTTATTTATTTATTTATTCGTTCATTTTACACTTTTTTTTTATGCTTGAATCAATACTGTTGGAATAAAAATGCTGCTTTTATCTTTGTCTTTTTTTTCTCTAATTAATTTAATTAGTGAAATTTTCAGGTGGCTGATTCACAGTTAGCAATCAATTCTTCCACTGCTGCCGGTATTTACTTTGATGATTTGGTTAGTATGACTAATTTTCTTTTTTCTTTTTTTTTTTGATAATAATTAAAAAAAAAAGGAAATCGCTCACTATCTTATGTCATTGCTATTAGTGAATAACAATTCATATAGGAGTTTTAAAATTCATTTTTCTGAATAAAAGATTGGATGACAGCATAAACGAAAGAATAATTAAATAAATGAACAAGTAATTAATTAATTAGGCAAATAAGTAAATAATTTGATGTATGTTGAAAAAACTAGCAGCATTATGTAAATGATAAATGAAATTTTAGTAGATATTTGTTTACAATAATATTCATTGAAAAGATAGTCATATTTTTGATTGCTAAAAGTTAATGTAATTATAAAATATTGTCACAAATATATTTAAAATGATAGTTTTTTTTTTTTTAAAAAGAAAAAGAAACTGATAAAGATATCAAATTAATAATATTTGATCGTCCACTTAATAAACTATCCAATAGTATGATCACATGCTCAAAAGTTATTAAATCTTTCAAAAGAATTAGATATATTTTATCTTGCTATTTTTTGACAACATCTTTCCCTTTCTCTCTCCCTCTATCTCTCTCTTATCTATCACCAAACTTTTTTTTTAATCTATACTATCACTTACATTTTGAAAGTGCTAAACAAACAAAGAAAAAAGTTTTTTCTTCCACTTTAAATTTCATTTCAGTACTTGTTATATTTGTCTATCAGATATTTATCCACCATTATCAATCATTTTTTTATTTAATGGAATCATATTTTCATATTTTTTATTTAATGAAATTTAATTTTATTCAATGAATATCAACCATATCTTTATTTAATGAAATAAAGAAGTTCCTTACCGAATCATTATGAGCATATAGCGACAAGAAAATCTTTAAGGATTCTTGACGTATCGAGAATCCTTTTTACCGATAGGTCAAGAATCGTTTTTACCGACATGTCAAGAATTCTTTTTTTGGACACTTCAAAAATTCTTTTTATCGATACGTCAAGAATTCTTTTTTCGACACGTCAAGAATTATTTTTTGGATACGCCACCAATTCTTTATTTTTTCGACACATCAAGAATATTCTCTAATTTAATTAATTCTATCAGCACTACTTCCAATTAAATTACCAAATTGCACGTAATAGTAAATTCTTAATTATTGCAATTATTATTATTATCAACTAGTAATTACGATAATTATCAATAATTACTATCATTTGATTAGATTTTTATCAAATTTTCACCCTCCAACTTTTTTCTCTTTTCTTTTTCAATTAATTTCTTCCATTTTTTTCGGATCCTAAATTATAATAAAATAAAATAGTGAAACACTAAACATTGCTACTACAAACTACTACAACCACTACGATCACTACAACGATGACGACAACAATGACGACGACGACGACGATTACAACGATTACTGCATCCTTTGAAAACGATTCATACATCATTAGCCTAGCGTTTTTTGTCAAGCCAAATTAAATCAATTAACGGGTTAAGGTGCTAAGAACCTGTTTTTTCCCATTCCTTTTCATTCTATTTCATTACACATGTACATTCACTTTACCCATCTTCTTACCTTTCTTCCTCATATACAATACCGCCCGGAACGGTTCCTACTTTGATGTATATAAATAATTGTATGCATACGTTCCATCTATATATGTATAATGTATGCGTGTGTGTGTGTGTCTGTGTGTGTGTGTGTGTGTGTGTGTGTGTGTGTGCACACAACTAACCGGTTTGCTCCGGTTTAAATAGTTGATGACAAGGAGCGGTGAATTGCTCCAGCGGAAAAGAAAGGTTTTCCTTCGAATTCATTACAACTATCGAAGTATTACACGACCACTTTCTCTCTATACTGCTGCTCCTAATTTATGCTTTAATTCTAATGCATTAACACATAATTAATTGGTACCCACAAATAAGATAGTTTTTAAAAAAAAAAATGGTTCCATGTTACATTTTTTATATTAAATATTAATGTACAATTTTACGAAGATTCTCTAAATATTTGGTATTATGTGGGAAAGTACCTTTATTGGTTGTTGTTATTGAGATATTATAGTATCGTTAATTATCTTTACATACTAAGACGACAAATTATTGAATGAATCATCTTTTATTCAATACTTTTAGTTTTGCAATGAACAATACGATTAAATACTAATTTGTCCCAATTTTAAAATATTTATATTTGTGATTTTTTTCTGCTTGCTATATTATTATTATCATTATTGTTATTATTATTATTGTTATTATTATTATTATTATAATTATAATTATTATTATTATTATTATTATTATTATTATTATTATTATTATTATTATTATTATTATTATT